TACCCTAATTAGTCCATCCTAATTTGAATGGTAACTATAGAAAGGTGAGGTATAGTTGGAGGAGGTGGGTCACTGGGTGCTTTTCCCATGGCCCATTTTCCTCTCTCTGTGCGTCCTGGCCTCCATGAATTCCTCAGCACTCCTTCACCATACACTTCTGCCATGATGTTCTGCCTCATCTTGGGGCCAGAGCGATGGAGTCAGCCCACCATGAATTAAACCTTTGGAACTATGAACCAAAATAAACTTTTCCTTCTATAAGCTGTTCTTGTTGGGCACTTTGTTAACAGCGATGAAAAAAAGCTAACACAGACCCACTTACCTCCAGACATCTTGTGTGAGAAAAGTAAATTTTTATTTTTTAAGGGACTTTTGGCCAAAAGTCCTGTCACTACAGCCAAAGTCAAAGTAGTACAAAAGGTGATTTTGATTCAAAAGCAACTCTAAGATACTCTGATCAGAGGCAGCAATGAGGAACTTTTAGCTTAACACATTGCAAAATCTTCTTAAAGGATGACTGATTAGAACACTGCCTTTGCATTGTTACTTCTAAAAACTGCAGGAAATAACATTTCAGGGACTAAAAAAACAATTTCAAAGTTTTTAGTCAATAGAAATTATATCAACTGTAAGATTATATATAGTTTTTCCCTCCTTCATTCCCAAAGTTCAATTGTAATATTTGAATACTGAATGAAAAAAGTTGGGCATGTAAATATTTGGTTATTTTTAAATGCCTATTCCTGAAACAACAAAAACAATGTTTCATTTCTTACTTTAACTACTTGTAAGTTTCATTTCATTTCTTGCTTTAACTATAACTTGTAAAATTCTAGTGGTCTTTCAAAATCTAACTCAAATGTCATCTTCTCAAATAGTATTTCCTAACTTTGCAACAACAGACTCCTTTTAAAACATATATTTATTTATTTATTGTACTGGAGATTGAACCCTAGGGCCCAGGGCATGGCAGGCAAGTGTGTTATCACTGAGCCGCATGCTTAGCCCTTTCTATTTTAAGTTGCTCAGGCTGACCTTGAACTTGATGATCCTCCTGCCTCAGCCTCCTGAATAGCTGGGTTTACAGGCTTATGCTACTGCCTCTGGCTGACAAATGCCCTCCTGTTTTCTCTGAGAACTTATTCATTCATTTAACAAACATTTATTAAGCTTTGGTTATTTCTAGCTCTTCTTCTGGTGATGCAGAAGTGAAAAGCCTTACATAGTTCCTATACTCAGAGCTTACAATATAGATAAATCCTTAGCAACCAACATGAAGTGTGGCAAGTTTCTGTTTTAGGCATATTAGCTAGCATATGTTAACAACCAATGAAGTTAATTAAACTTTTACTGGGTTTGTATGGTGTGTAAGGCACAAGAGATATAAAAATGAATAAAATACAGTCTCTGTTTTTTAAGGGAGGGACAGAAACTGATAATGTGTTCAACAAACTAGTTTCCTCTGCTGCCTGGGCAGAGTCAACATTTCCCAGTCTGCCTTATAGGTTTGTGTGGCATGTGACCTGTAGACTGGCCAATGGGATGTGGGCATAAAATAATGTGCTATTTCTAGGATTCATCCAGAAGAAGCCTTCATGAAATTCTCCATATCCCCCTCTCTTTCCCATTTTCTGAAACTAAGGACTCTTAAGTGCTTAGGAGATAGCAAAGCCATAATATAAAAGAATCTTGACTTCCAGAATCACTGAATAGAAGTCCACCAGCTGAACTCCTGCTTGGACTTTACTTGCATGAGAAATAAACTTTTGCTGTGTTTGGTTACTGAGATTTTGGAGTTCTTCTGTTATAGCAGCTGGTGTTGCCTTATGTACTTTAATTATGATGTAAAAAGTGCAGAGGGGAGAGGGTATTGCTGTGCTTGGCTGGGGTGGATGCATCAGGATATGTGGGAAACAAGCCTTAGAAAATAACTTGGTCATGTAAAGAAACCATAGAAGACCATTCCAGGCAGAGAAACCATATGAGCAAAGAATAAAATATGAATAGGAAGGTGCATATAGGGAATTCTACGTATATCTGTATTAATTAGAACACAGAAATGTTTGTGATCTGAGCAGTCAGAAGAAAACACTAAGTATACATTCTTGGGCTATTACCTCCTAGTCAGGTTAGCTTAGGCAAATTCATAAATCAGTCTGGACAAGTTTCTTCTTGTTTAAGATGGAGACAATGCCTATGTCTCCCAAATCCTAAAACAGTGTACTTCATTGAGTCCATAGAGATGCCTTCTGCTCCTCTGTCTTCTTTTAATGAAATATCCTTTGAGAAGGAAGCCACCCATGCACATGGTACACTGAAGAGCACAGATAAGGGACACTGGTAAATTCAAACTTCACAGAAGACACAGAAAAACAAATTAGAGAATTGATTTTTTAAAAGATAAAGAGCTTTCATTATGTTTGTTAGAACAAAGAGACAGGGCTGGGTGCAAACTTCAAAAATCAGCTCAGCCTTTGATCAGGAACCAGACTACACCTACGGGAATGGACCCATTTTCCTGGTGGAAAATGAGCCACCAAACAAAGGAGGGGACTGGGCTTATATAGGTTGTGGGTGATGTAGTGAGCATGCCAGACTGGGCACTCAGGAATTTGAGTCCTTGAGTTAGGGATTGGTGGCCAGCACCTGGAGAGGTATACTGTCTTGAAAGAGATTAGTATTTCCTAGAGACTATCACTTCTAGGTTGGATGAGACACTGTCTCCCCTCCTGTGGCCAGTACCTGGGAAGGACTTATCTTGGGAGAGGAGAAAGTCATCATTGTATGACTTTCCTTTCTATTTCTTTCTCCCCGGTCTCATTATTTTGGGGTGTTTTGTTTTCCATATCCAATAATGTTGGCAAGACATAGTTAATAACTTTAAAAGGTTATTAAAAACACTCCAGAACTTATCATAATTGTGGCTTCCTTAGCACATGACTAAAATACTGAGAGCACTCCCTCATTATATGATTGCATACACAGGCTACTCCACTTCCCTGGTACTGTATTACCAAGCTTTGTGTAAAAAAATTGTAAATCTTTTTTTTTACTCCAGAAGAAAAATGTGTTCTGTCGCTAGAATTTTATGCTGACCAAGAATCAGAAGCACACTAATAGGACTAATAAATATTTGGCCATGAACAAGATAGTCAATAATCTCTTGTATTCTGTAAATATTTTCAAATGAAGAAATGTTTCACATTATACTTGTAAAGCAAGAGACTTTCAAGGGTCTGTGGGTAACAAATAAATGACTTCAGGAGCCAGGCAGGTAATAAGTAATGTGGAATCTGTGGCATCATCTGGAGTGGGTCAAGCCCAACTGAAGACATTCAAATCACCACAGGCCTCTGGAGCTAATCCCATGGTTTTACCTCCCATCTAAAGAAACTGAGATTAGGGTTAGGTGACTCTTAGAGTATACATAGTAAGCACAGTAATCAGAGTCAATGCAGAAGACAGAAACTACTCCAGATATTTAAGGCAGAAAGAGATTGTACACAGAGAACTGGGTGTTCATGAGATTGTGGAAGGGCTAAAAGTGCAGGGTCTAGGCTGGGTCCCCAAGAATTATTTCTACAACACTAGTAACTGAACCATTAAGGAATTTTGCCATAATCAAGAAGCTACACAGGGCCTCTGGAGTTCAAGAACACCACTAAAGTTGTGACCCAGATATGCTGGGATCTAGAAACTATCTGGACAGGAAACACAGAATGTACTTGCCACTTCCCTCAATTGCCCCTTGACAGCCACAGGGCTGATGATTCAACACAGTGACACTGAGTCTGAGTGTCTCAGCTGCTGTAAGTGCCTCTCAACACCCACAATTCTGAAGACAGGACACTGGCATCTCCTGCACTTTTTTGCCAGAAGAAAACAGCTACAGGGGCTGGGGTTGTGGCTCAGAGGCAGAGTACTTGCCTCACATGTGTGAGGCACTGGGTTCGATCCTCAGCACCACATACAAATAAATAAATAAGGATATTGTGTCCATCTACAACTAAAAAAAATATTAAAAAGAAAACAGCTGCAAATAACAGGAAGGTGGCCTTTACCTCACCTTCTCCTTGCTTTAGAAACATCAGGCAAGTTTACTTGCCAGACCCTAATTTTTATCCAGAACTCTATCTCAAAGGAAGTCTGGGGGAATGTTTCTTAGCTTTTTCAGGTTCTGCTGTACAAGAAGGCAAAAGCAAACAGGAATGGACAAGTGCCACCTTTCACATTCACCTAGCAACTGCAGCTACAGGCCCTAGGATTTAGATCTGGATCACTAATTCTATTCTTCTTATCCTATAATTACCTTTTATTGAAGTCCTAAAAAATGATGAAAATGTATCAACAGGGTTATTATCCTACAAACCTTCAAATACTAGAATATATGCCAGTTTGGCGCAGAGAAGACACACAGGTATTTGCTGAATAGATGTTTCATTCCTGACTTTGAGAGAAACAGTAAACTAGAATTCCACCAGAGTACTGCGTAGCAGCAATAACTGTCAAGTGGAGGCCCATTAGGGAGGGGTGAGAAAATGGAGTTGACTTGGCAAAGGCATCTGCTCTGTGTCTGCTAGTGGTATAGATTTCTTGTTAGGAAGCTAAAGGAACCGGAGGATTCCTGCCACTAATCTTTTGGTGCAACAAATCACAGCAGAGTCTAGGGTGACATAACAAGGGTGTGATGATAAGCTGATACCTGATAAACAAAAGGCCACAGCTTCCACCGGCTTTGAGCAGGTCCAGGCAATGGGATCTGATGATGCTTAGCGCTTTGAGAGTGCTAACCTACTCCACCAGAAGCAACACCCTCTGGTTGATTTGACAACTAAAAAACAATGAGGAAAATCCCACTACACACACACACACACACACACACACACCCCACAACCGGAAAGTGTTGGGCGCTCACTCCGGATCGCGGGCTCCGCTAGAGCTACACGAATCACTTGGCGGAGAGGGTTTCTTTGCCCTCGGTATTCTCCCCTGCTACTCACTCCGCAGGCTGTGATGCAGGTGACCCCGCTTCGCCGGGCGCGTTAGGAATTGAGCATCTGGGCGGCGGCGGTCGGGGGCCCAGTCTAGGCAGCGGGCACTGGGTGTCGCGGGCGCACGGCCCCAGGTAGCCCCACGGGCACTGCTGCAGATAACCAATCCTGGGGCTGATTACCCGCAGCCCCGCCTTTCCCACACACCCACGCCCAGCGTTACAGCCGGAAAAGGTCTGCCCAGCGCGCGGGTGGAGGCTCAGGAGCAAGCCTGGGGGGTTCGCCAGCCGCCTCCCGGCGCGCCTAGAGGGATTTCGGGTTCCGCAGCGCGTGGCTCCGCCCCCCGCCCGTGGCAGGAGGCCCTCCGCCAGCCCTGGGACCTGGAACCTCAGCTTGCGGCCTTTCAGTCGCTTGTTCTAAAAAAAGCGTGCGAGTTCTACCGCCCCCTGGAGCCCGGACACAGCGCGCGTTTCCCCAGGGGAGCTCCTAGGAAGGGTCGGCAGCGTGCGTGCGCCCCCAAGCGCAGCGCGGTTTCTTGCAGGAGCCTGGAATGCGGGACACGCAGCCCTTTGCTTGCTTATGGTTCCCTGAAGCAACTTCTAAATTCTGTATTTCGACTCCACTGTGTAGTTGTACTATTCAGAAATGTCTTCTTGAGTCAGTGGGAAAACAAGATTTTTTTTTTCTTTAGATGACAAAAAGAAAAGTCTTGTAGCGTTCATCGTTTCTTTAACCCGTGCCCTATTGCTGTATTGATTCAGATTTTAACCCTTCCACCAACATTTTGGTTCTTTTTGATTTTCACTCCCATTTTCGTGGCTTCTTTTCCTTCGTATTCTCCTCTCCTACATTCACGCGGGCGCGCGCACATGCCCTGTTTTTTGGCGTGTATGCGCCTTACCTGTCTTTTCACTCCTTTATACACGTGCCAATTTTAATCCTGCCTTCAGGCAAGAAGGTCTGTCTTCAAGTAAATATCTCCACCAGACATAAATCATTCACTGTCTCTCAGATCCTTCCTTGTGATGAACCTCAGGTCCATCCAAATGATTCTTTTCCTAAACTGAACTGTACCTTTTCTAAGCTTGAAAAAATTTCTGGTCACATCAGGCTTCCTCTTATCACAGAATTGAAAGTGTTTTTCCCCCTTTTCTTTCAGTCATATGATCTTCATTGTACATCACCTAATTTGATTAACATGACTTAGGAGAACATTGAATTTGGGGGTTAGGCTTCACTTTTTCATTGCTTGTTATGTTTACAGTACTTTATGGTTGCCTCTGAGAGAACTAACTGAATGTCTATTCATGTTAAAATCAATTTTGTAGAACTCGTGTGTTGATTTGAATTCATTAATTTGAATCTATAAGAAACTGATGGACTCCATTTTTGAGAAACCAGCTTCTCTCAAGGCCTGTCCAGAGGGAAGGGGCATGACCCTGGTCCTTGGAAAAAACCCCAGAGCCCTCCTAGGCACAAACCCATCTGCTAAGTTGTTTAACAGGAGAGATCTGAGGTGCCTGGTGTCCCTGACTCAGTTATGCTAGGTGAGGACCTATAGCAACCCCCTAGCAACCACCAATCAGCGTGAGACAGCAAAATATCTGAAATGCCAGGTGACCCTCCTCCGTAGGTTAGGTGATTGATAACATGATTAGGCCACCCTGCAAGTTTAGCTTATATACTCTTATAACCCCTCACAGCCTAAACCAATCAGTTCAAATGTATCCACCAGTTGAACTAACCAATCACCCTTACCCAACTTGTTCTCGCCAGTGAATGTGCTGATCAATGTTAAGAGTTGTTTGATTTTCCTGCGGTATGAAATGATTTGCTGTGTGATGTTGTGATGCATGGAGTATCCCCCCCAAACCTATAAATCCTCACTGAACTAAGGGTTGGGGCTCACTCTTCAGGACCACTGCGTGGAAAATGGTTGTGAGTCCAGGCTCAAGGTAGCAATAAAGACTCTTTTGTGATTGCATTAGATTTGACTCCTGGAGGTCTATTGGGGTCCCATGAATCTGGCATTACTGCTATACATGTAAGACCTACTCCTGCATAAAGTATTTCATAATATTCTTAGAAACTTCAGTGTTCCATTAACTGATTAGCCCAACTCTGGAATTTCATAAAGTAGAAACTAAAATCCAATATAAACTGGGTGACTTGGTCTAGGCCACAAAAAGCCTTTGCTATCTACCTGTGGAATACTTGATCTAGAACCCCAGAGCAAACATAGTCAGTGAACTCATTCACAAAACTACTTAAAATATCCTTTGTTGTGCATTCCAACCCAGTTTCATCAACTACATAATATTCTTCTCCATCCATAAAGTGTTATCCTTTAATTGTCCATTTTGAAATTTTCCTTGCTAATTAAGGTCCTAGAGAAAAGTCTAAGAATAAACTGCTCATTTATTGAATAGCTAGGTATTGGTGATCCTACCACTTGGTCTTTGGAGGTCTTTACAACAAATAAACAACAAGCATAAAATCCTAAAACTGAAAACAAAACTTCTAAAATGTTGTAGAGTTATCATTTGTACATTTATTTAAACTTTTTCTCAAAATTTTTATTAACTTTGTTTCCCATTAAGTAAATCCTTATTTGTCTAAAGATTATTTCCAAATTTCATATCCTCTTGTCAGTTATCCTGGAATTTGGTGACAAAAATCTTGACTCAATAAACCAAAACCAAGAAGAAAAAAAACCTCTCAAACTCACAATATTGACAATTAATTAACTATATATTTCTTAGGCCCTTATTAAATATAATTGCTCATTTTAATACAAATTGTTTAGACGAATAATACCAAATTAGTGATAATATCTGTGAGGATGGCCTTAGGCCTGAGCCTAAGCAACTCCATTTTAAAAACTCCAGTTCTAAAACTCCAGTCTAGGAGTTTTCTAGAAACTCTAATGGAGTTAAAACTAGGCACACCTAACAGATCCTTCCAGTATGCCTCAAACAAGTTACTTCTCCTCACCCTGATAAACAGAGTGAAGCCTCTGCCAGGCTGTCCTTGTCTGATAAGAGGGAAAGGCGAGAAGATCAGGGTGGAGACCACCAGACCAGATGTTTCTGACCCCGGGATAAATGATGTTACTGAGAAATCCAGTGGTAGCTGGTAAGGATTGAAAAGGGGGTCAAAAGCCCCCAAGTTTAGTATAAATAATAGAGCAAATGAACAGGGATCCAGCCAGCTGCAACAAGGATGCACTGGAGTTGGAGAGCCTGATAAGAACCTGACATCCTATCACTTGTCATCATTTTCCTGATCCTCTGCGTGATCCTTACAACTCTCAAATTCTACCCTCATCTGGACCTTGGTGAGAGCAGCAACTTCTCTCTAGGATCCTCTCCTTAACTACTCCATGCTAGGAGAAGCCTGCCTTGGTTCTGGAACTGATCACCATGGTCTAAGTGAGTGTGCATCTGCTGGACATAAAGCCTAAAGCTTAAGACTTTTGAACTTTGCATTTAGAGGGAATGTCTGTCATTAGCCTGTCATGATTAAGTGTGTTTTGCAGTGCTTAGAATTAACCTAGAATTGTTTGCTGCAAATGAATTAATCTAGAATTGTTTGCTATGAATTGATTATGTATATTGCAGTGCCTAGCATTAAGGACTGTCATTTTCTTGATTAAGAAACTATAGATGTGGTATAAAGGTATATTAAGAATTGTAATGCAAATAATAATAATAATAATGTGAAAAAAAGAACCTATAGAGTGAAATTGTATTGAGTAATTTGAGTGAATAAAGCATTGAAAGGGGCAGAAACACGTGGACACTTTTTATTTCTCCTCTTGATTGCATATGTCGCAATTTTGCCCCCTCGTGACTGTAGGAACGGTGGAAAAAGCTCCATAAACTCAACAAGCCAAAACAACTGTTTACCTGTCTGAGATTTTATTAGCAGGACCATAACAGGCAGTCACAGAAGAGAAGGTGGAGGTGGGGGTGGGAGAGAGAGGGAGAGAGAGAGGGAGAGAGAGAGGAAGAGGAAAAGGGAGAGGGAGAGAGGGAGAGGGAGGGGGAGATGGAGGGGGAGAGAGGGAGATGGAGGGGGAGAGAGGGAGAGGGAGAGGGAGAGAGGGAGAGGGAGAAGGAGAGAGGGAGAGGGGGAGGGAGAGGGAGAGGGAGAGAGGGAGAGGGAGAGGGAGAGAGGACGAACAGGGTGTTGAAATTTATGGGCTTAATGCAGGATGAGGAGGAGCAAGGCAAGTGGGTTGTTACTTCTTCATTGGCCGAGAGTTTGTGCCACTTCAGGGATTGGAGGTGCACCATTCAAAGTTCGCACCATTCACAGGGATTGGAGGTGATGGTTCGCTGGCCATTCAGTGCGTCATGGACCTAAGCTTCCGGATGAGAAGCTCTCCGGGTGCCATCTTTACCAACATTCCTCCCTTTTTTTGTTTTGGTTTGGGGGCACCGTACTTGATCTGGCTACTTCCTGCTGAGTAGGGGCATCATTTAGAGGGAGGGAGGGAGGTCAGTTGGTTGGAGAAGGAGGGCCAGGAGGTCCCATATCCATGCACTGAAGGCATGGATTTCCTCCGGGGAGAAGTCCATGAATGTGCCCTGCAGCTATGAAGAGACAGCATTAATCTCTGGCCTGTCGTCCAATCTGTAGGGCTGGTAGAAAAAGGCCTATGCCCAGGAGAAGGCAGGTTAGAACATATAAAGCTGAAAACCAAGGGCTTATTTTTTTGGCATGGTGGGGTAGAGATGGCCCTTCCGTCGAGTCGTCATTCGGTATCTTTATCTTTCAGCACTTGGTGGAGGTTTCTTGGGTTGTGTGGACATGAGTGTCGTCCAGCTCATTGGCAAGTAGCTGGTAATCCCTGAGGAGGAGCTGATTGAAAGTTTGGTTAGAGATTTTGTTAATTTGTCCTTGAAGGAATTTTAAAATAAAAAGAAGGAAGGGACAGAATAAAAAGACCCCAATTAGAGGTCCCAGTATTGGGAGAATCCAGTGGCTGACAGGGTTTGTGTAGAGGTCCCAATAGGATTGTTGTGCCAATTGCTGCTTTCTTTTTTCTAGTTATTCCTGTAGTTGTTTAATCTTATCTTTCACTATCCCTGACTGATTAACATAAAAACAACATTCTTCCTGTAAGAATAGGCAGAGGCCTCCTTTCTCTGCTGTGAGTATAGCTAAGCCTCGGCAGTTTTGTAGGACTACTGCTGCTAGGGAATCTAATTGATTTTGGAGAGTAAGTATGGACTCAGTCACCTGTTGGAGGTCATCTATGAACAATTTGGACAATTGATCATAGTATGTGAGGGAGGTAGCCAAACCCACTGTACCCATTGCCAAACCTGCTGTAATTCCTAAAGTAGCAAGGAGAAGTATGAATTGGATCACCCATTTGGGTCTTATGTGTGTCATGAGGATTGGTATTTCTGTATCTCCTGGAATTATGTCTACAAAGGGAAACAAGAGTACATGTGCCTTCCCAGTCAGGGGGCAGACAGTGGTATACAGTCATCCCACATAAGAATGATGCTTCAGAGACTGATGGGCAGTGGCCTTACTACCTTTTGGTAGAGAGGTTTTTTGTTGACATTGCTTCTCAGATAAGTCTCCTACTGGTATGTTTCCTGATGACTGAAAACATAATGGAGCAGCCTGGTAGAGAGGGACACCGGAGAGTTTGGCTGTGGTGTCTTGGGTTGAAGAGGCCTCCTTGAGTGCAGCCTGAGAACTATTTATTGGGCATGCTATTAGTTTTGGGGATTCAGTTATAGCCTGCAAACACAGCCAACATCCCTGGGCTGTGTATCAATAGTAGCCTTTAACAGATTGAGAGAGATATTGACAAATTTAAGAGAGAGAAGAGGTTCTTTGACTGTTTTTGCCTTAACCAAATCAGGCAGCCAATTGGGTGTATCAATCGTCCTCTTCCAGCAATTCTTCCTATTGAATGTCCAGCCACTTGGGCATGGTGTGGGAGGAGCCAGGGCTGGATTATTCCCAATGGAATAACATAATATTGTTATTATGTTCACAGGCCCGGGGGTCACCGTGGTAACAGTCTTTGGGAGGGGTTTCATTAAAGAATTTAAAACTCTTCTTAGGAAGAGTTTGGCTACAGTTTGTGGGACAGGATGGTATAAGGTTTAACCTTCTCTGCACTACAATTTGAAAGAGAGTTAGCAGGTATAAGGCCAGTAGACATAGGTCTAAAAAGGGTGTGGGTGTACTGTGTTGCCATGGGTTCCTAGATCCTATCTGGAGGCCCTTCTTATGTATGTTCTTCTCCTCCAGAACGGGAGGGAAGGTGGTGCATGACTGTGAAAAACGGAGCTTGAGAGGGTTATCTGGAGATATCTCACAGGTAAATCTGGGGGATTGGGGGGTTCTGCAAGGTTGGGAGCTGTGGTGGGATTGTCCTCTGGAGGGCTTGCCGCTGGTTTTAACCTAGAAATATGAATCCAGGGGGTTAGTTTCTTTCCTTCCTGTTGGAGTTTTGCAGCATTGGGTGTACACAGGACTACCTGTAATGGCCCTTCCCATCTTGGAGTTAGGGAGGATCTTTCCCCTGGGGAAGAAAAGTAGACCCAATTCTCCTGGTTTGAGCAGAAAGGAGGCAGCTGAGTTCTCTGGATCTGGAAGCATAGCTCAGAGCATATAAGGAAGAGGAGGGGAAAAGCATATTGGTCGGGGAGGGGCCAAGGCTCTGGTGAGATTCCCAGGGGGAGAAGGGGACGACCATACATTATCTCAAAGGGGGAGGCAAGGGATGGCTTTTTTGGTAAAGCCCTCAGGCTTAGTAGAGCAAGAGGGAGGAGTTTAATCCAATCTAAATGAGTCTCTAAAGACAGCTTTGTTATGATGTCTTTCATTGTGTGGTTGGCTCGCTCAACCTTACCTGAGGCTTGGGGGCAATAGGAACAATGAAAGTGCCATGGGATGGACAATGTCTTTGCCACATTCTGGGTTACTTGAGAGACAAACTCAGGCCCATTGTCAGATTGGATTGAAGCGGGCATCCCAAACTGAGGGATTACTTCGGTTAGGACGATGTTAGCCACCATGGTAGCCGGCTTATTTGAGGTGGGGAAGGCCTCTACCCAAGCCAAGAATGTGTCTATTAAAACTAGTATGTATTTGAAGTTTTTTACTCTGGGCATCTTGGTAAAGTCAATTTGCCAATCTGCCCCAGTATATGGCCCCTAGCCTGATGAGAAGGGAAGGTTCCAGGTTTTAAAGATGTATTGGGATTCACTCTTTTGCATATCTGGCATGAGGCTGTGATTTGCTGTATCACTTCTTTATCCTGGGGAGTCAGAGTAAAGAAAGAGTGGAGAAAGGCTTTGAGAGTCTGCGGACTGGTGTGGAAAATGGAGTGGAGGTAAGTAAAGAGGGCATGTTTTGGTGGGTCTCCGCTATTGGGTAATGTTGGAGAGCACATGGCGATGAGAGATCTGGTGGGGTCTTAAAGGGCGGCTGACATGGCTGCCTGATCTGCTTTTGAATTTCCCTCTGTGGCGGGGAGGAATCATTTTGGTGTGATCTGCAATAGATAACTCCAAGTTTTTTAGGAAGCTGGGAGGCTTGTAGTAGCTGGGTGATGTATGTGGAGTTGGTTATAGAGGTGCCCTTTGAGTTCAGGAGACCTCTCTCCTTCCAAACTGCTGCATGAGATAAGAGAATGTGGAAAACATATTTGGAATCAGTATAAAGTGTAAGATTTTTCCCCGCTGCCAATTCACAGCTTCGAGTTGCAGCTACCAGCTCAGCCTGTTGGTTGGTGGTATTTGCAGGCAGGGGATTGGCTTCTATTACTCGTGATAGGGACACTATGGCATATCCAGCTTTTCTGATCCCCTCATGCATAAAGGAGCTGCCATCAGTGAACCAGGTGTAATCAGATTGGTCTAGAGGTCCCTCAGTGATATCAATTGGGCATGGGAGGAAGTTTTCTACAATTTCCCTGCATTTATGTGTTGGGGACTGTGTTTGACCTTAAGCCTGAATGGGTTACAGAGTTGCTGGGTTGAGAGGGGCGCAGGTTTGGAAGGACATAGAAGAGTCATAGAGGAAAGAGACCAAGGGAGAGAGAATTCGACAGGGAGGGAGGGTTTGCAGTCCTTTGTACGTTAGCAAGTCCTCAAGGTGATGAGGAGAAGTGACAGTGATTTGAGCTCCAAAGGTAAGCTTTTGCGATTCTTTTAATAAAACATAGGAGGCCACTAGGGTGCGGAGACAAGGAGCCCATCCTCAGATGGTTGGATCTAACTGTTTTGAGAGGTATGCCACCGGAGCGAAGGTGGGCCCATACATTTGTCCCAGCACCCCCAAGCCTTGCCCTTTGTTTTCATGAACATAGAGAGTAAAGGCCTATTAACATCTGGCAGATGTAGGGCCAATGCTTGTAAGAGGGCCTTCTGGAGGGTTCTGAAATGTGATGTAGCTGAAACTAACAAGGGCTCATGCTTGTTTCCCTTTGCTAGATCATATAATGGTCTGGCAAGTAATGAGTAATTTGGTACCCATGCCCTAAAATAGCCTGCCAGACCTGGAACGAGAGAATCTCCTCCAAGTACTGGAAGGCTTTCAATAAGGCCTTTTCTATCGGTTGTGATAGCTTTCTTCCCTTGGGAAAAGTGGAACCCTAAGTAAACAACCTCAGAGAGAGAGAGAGAGCTGCACCTTTTGTGGAGAAACCCTATAAACTCGGTGAGCAAGAAAATTCAGGAGGTGGCTATGTCAGACTTTGAGGTTTGTAATGAGGGACTACAGAGGAGGAGGTCATCAACATATTGTAGGAGGGTTGAGTCTGGGCATAGAGGGAAAAAAATCCTCAAGATCTCCAGCGAGGACTTGTCCAAAAATATGTGGGCTGTCTTGAAACCCCTGAGGCAGGACAGTCCAGGTTAACTGTCGGGAATATCTAGTTTCTGGATCAGTCCAGGTGAAAGTAAATATGTCTTGGGAAGAGATGGATAGTGGAATTGAAAAGAAGGCATCTTTAAGATCAATAACTGAAAAACAGGTGGAGTTTGCAGGAATGGAGGAAGGAGAGTATAAGGGTTTGAAACCAAGGGATGTATGAGCCTGGTTGAAGAATTTATTAACCTTAAGTCCTGCACCAAATGGTTCCGTTAGGCTTTTTTACTGCTAAAATTGGGGTATTGAATGGAGAGTTTGTGGGATGGAGGAACGCCTTTCTTAGTAAGCTCTGAATGATTGGCTTTAGGCCCTTAAGACTGGCACTTGGCAGTGGGTACTGGGCCTGGTTTGGGAAGTGGTTAGGGTCTTTAAGATGCACTTCCACGGGAGAGCAATTTGCAGAGGACGGGGTTTCAGTGTCCCATACAATTGGATCTACTATTTTACAGGGGAGGGGGAAATGTGTGTTCTGGTGGTCGTTGGCATCTCCACATCAGAAACAAAGAGGTAAAGTCTCTTCTTCGTCAGGAAGTAAAGCCATGAGGGAGATATGAGTAGGGGAGGACAATAAGCGTATGGTTATGGAGGCCTTCAAGATGGATAATATATCCCTTCCCAGCAAGGGGACCGGACATTGAGGCATAACCAAAAAATGGTGTGAAAAGGAGAACTCAGTTAAGGAGCACGTGAGGGGAGGAGTTCTGCATGGGATGATGGTTTGACCTCCTAGCCCAACAATAGGAGATTCGGAGGGATAGGTAGTTCCCCAAAACTCTCTCAGAACCGACAATGTGGCCCCAGTGTCTACCAAATAGTTTATGGGATGCCCATCCACTTGGATAACCACCTGGGCTCCTGCTTGGTGATTGAATAGGTCGGGACAGAAGACCCAGGGCCCTGTCAATCCTTAGCTGCTAGGCCCAGCAAGTCACTGGTGGGGTGACTGACCTCAGCTCCCTTCTGGGAATTGGGGCAGTCTGATCCCCAGTGGCCAGGATGTCGGCATCTGAGGCACAGTCTGGGTGGTGCCCTGGGGTTAGGGCAAGCCCTAGCCCAATGTCCTTCATCACCACACTTAAAGCAGGGCCAAGGGGGTCCTCATTGTGGGGGCTGTTGTCTCCCCCTTTCCATAGGCTGGAAGGAGCCCTGTAACACCTGGGCCAACATCTGGCATTTTTGGTGTTTTGCTCTTTCATCTCTGTTGTGGTAGACCTTGAAGGCCATGGCCAACACCTCGGTCTGAGGAGTCAAGGGTCCCCTCTCTAATTTTTTTTTTAGCTTTTCCCGGATGTCAGGGTAGCTTTGTGAGGAAAAAATAGGTCATAAGAAGTTGCCTCCCATCCAGGGATTCAGGGTCCAAATTAGTGTATTGAACAAAAGCCTTTGTTAGTCGGTCTAGGAAGGCTGAGGGGTTTTCATTCTTCTTCTGGATGACTTCCTGGAGTTTATCAAAGTTAATAGCCTTTTGTGCTGCCGCCTTTAGGCCAGCTATCAGACAGGTAATAAGGTGGTCCCTGTGTCTCAGGTCTTGGGGGTCATTATAATCCCAAAGGAGGTCTTGGTCTGGAACCGCCTGGGCCTCTAGTGGATGGTGGGCATTAGTCTGATGAACCTGGTCTGCATAGGCCCTAGCCTGGTCCCAGACCCTACTCATTTCCTCAGGGAGGAGAGTATTGGACAGAATCATATAGAAATCATGAAAGGTGAGGCTATAGGCTTGAGTTAAGTATTGAAACTCTTTAATATAAGAGACAGAGTTTGCAGTGTAAGATCCCAATTTTTTTTCTACTTGAGAAAGGTCAAGCATAGAAAAAGGAACATAAACCCTTAAAATCCCTTCCGGCCTGGCAACCTGGCATCAGATCTGCTGGCATCTTGACCTTGCATTTGCCAGCCTCCAAAATGTGAAGATTAGGCTTGTTGTTTAATCCACCAGTGTATAGTAATTTGTTATAGCAGCCTGAACTAAGATGCTTACAAATTGAAGTCTATTTTAAAAATTATTTTGATAATGAGTTCAATATTTTTTATTTGACTTATAATGATTTCAGAAGAGATTAGGAAAGAAATTAATTAAAGAACTAGATTCTTGGGAACAATAATTTTAAAAGGCTCATTTTCATTAATGTCATTCCTAGGAGAGAGATGATCACTGAGTTTTCTTCACAACCAGGTTCACCATGGGCAAGAAGGTCCTGCCTTCCCCACCAGGAGATCCTGCAGTCACAGGCTCCATCCTCCATCAATGATGACAGGATTGCCTGTCACATAGGCTGACTGCAGTAATAAACATAAAGAGACACAACAGTTAAACAAGTGTGACACAGGCTTGCAATTTTTTTTTCTATGACTGCAAACAGTTGATTCTCATGAGAACAGAAAACCTTACTTACAATTTGAATTTAGGAAAATTGAAATTAAAGTTTGAATGATTTAGAACTGCTGACCTGTGAACTGGAGCTAAATGGCCCCTGTCCAGTATCCAAGAAGATGCTACATCTTAAACAGGATTAGTTGGGTATATGGTTTCAGAATCACAAAGTTAAGTAGTGGTGATATATAGCCATTCCCCAAACCAGGATAAAGTGTAGGCTAAAATACCATATATTCATTCTAATACTCATAACTATTCAAAACTGGCTTAGTTTTGACCACTAATAGACTTTTCAACATAAGTGTGTCAGTCATAAAGGGTTCATGTCAATGAACAAAGTTAAAAAACAGACAATGTATATTTAGTTAACAAAGGATTTTAAAATATAATTTCTGGTTTATGCTCACACAATTTTTCATTTTCCAAAGAACTAAAGCTGGAGTGATCCTTGTGGTAGAAGTTTCAACATCTTCTCCTCCTCCTTTTTTTTTCCAACACTGTGGATTGAACTCAGGTGTGCTCTACCACTGAGCTATGTCCCCAGCCTTTTTATTTTTATTTTAAGACCAGGTCTTGCTTAGTTCCTAAGGCTGCCTTTAAACTTGCAATCCTCCTGCCTCAACCTCCCAAGTTGAAAACTAAAAATCTTTTTAACTTAAAATGGATAAGTAAGTCTCAAAGTTTTAAATCAATCTAAAGCTTGAAACAATGAAAGAGGTTCTAGAAAGACATTATACTACGAGTACGGAAAATTTAAAAGTTCAATATATGAAAACTGATACCATAAATCAGAAAAACTTGGGGGTTATTGGTCACATTACTAAAGAAATGATCCCTAAGTTCCTTCAAAAAGCAAACTCTAGCAGGGCACGGTGGTGTACGCCAGTAATCCCAGGGGCTCAGAGGTTAAGGCAGGAGGATCAAGAGTTCGAAGCCAGTTTCTCAATTTAGCAAGGCCCTAAACAACTCATCAAGATCTTGTCTCTAAATAAAATATAAAAAAGGACTGGGAATGTGGCTCAGTGGTTAAGTGTCCCTAGGTTCAATTCCTGGTACCAAAAAAAAAAAAAAAAAAAAAAAAAAGAAAAGAAAAGAAAAGCAAACTCTACTATGAACTGCTTCTAGCTCCTCAAAGAAAACAAATGCCATTTTTGTTACACATATTAAGAATATTTGATATTTGGCAACATAAGGATAATATGACTTATCATCAGCAGTATTTTTAAAGCAAATGAGCTCTTCTGAAGATATGGAGTCAGAGGAATCACACAGGCTATTGTGCTTGCTCCACTAATAATCTGCCTAGCCCTTTCTCTGGCCATTAACAAGGTTTGCTAACAGGTCTGAGAAGTGGTGGCTCCTCTGTCACTAAAACATTTCAATCCTGTATTTGCCACACTCACCAGCCATCTGGTGTGCACCACTTTACTGTAAAGAGGAGCTAACTGATGAGTAATACACCTCCTTAGTCCCACTCCAACCCTGTCCTCCTCTCTTCCCATTCATCCCAGATCCCTGTTTATGTAATATTCAAAGACATAAAACAAAAGAGGATGCTCTTGTGCTCTATACCTTATAATGTAGTTTTTGTTTTCTCAGCTGTATGTCATTTAAAAATACACACTAGGCATTAAGGATGAAATTGGTTGCTAAACAGATGCAAAGTAGGAGAGAGTTAAGAATTTTCATACACAATGAAAACTAAGTAATAGGAAAAAAAAATAGCGAGTAGAATTCTCCCTAACAAATCACCAGTAAAACTAAAAACACCACATATCAATCCTGACTCCCCTGAACACAACTAAATCTGATGAACCCCTTAACACTCTCCCCAGTTCTTCAGAAGCTCTTGCAACCCTAGAAGTTCCCCCTGACTTACATTTAATCAGGATGTCTCCAATTTTAAGTTTTCCTCTGCTGAGGACGAAACCCAGGGCCTTGTTTGTACTAGGCAAATACTCTAACCAACTACTGACTTACATCCACAGTCACTATCACCCCTGTTTTAAAAATTTTATTTTGGGACGGAGTCTAAGTTATTGAGGCTGGCCTCAAATTTGCAGTCTTCCTGCCTCTTGAGGAAGCTGGGATTACCACCTCCCAGCCTCTTGAATAGCTGGGATTACAGGCATGCACTACCACGTCTGACAAATTATAATTTTTGAAAGTAGTCCTCCATTTATTTTGCTTTATGATTTTAAGACATTAAAATTGAATAAGGGAGCCAAGTGTGCTGGCGCACACCTACAATCCCAGCTACTCGAGAGGCTGAGGCAGGACGGTTGCAAGTTTGAGGTCAGCCTTAGTAATTGAGCAAGACGCTGTCTCAAAATTTAAAAAAATATATATAAAGGGGTGCAGATGTAGCCTCAATAATGGAGTGTCCCTGGATTTAATCCCAGCACCACACACACACAAACACACAGAAGTTGAATAAGGGGATCACTGGCTCTGATCAAATGGCCTTTCCTTAAATAGATTAAATCAGAACATGCCCCTATCTCGTAAACACAGCACCTCAGCATACATGTGCCAACCTGAACGACTTTAGGTTGATGAGAAAATAGTAGTCAAATGTGATGGAGGGTAATGAGCTTCCTGGGAAGAGAGATGCTTACTTCATCAGAAGCCAGATATACACAGAGCAGGGCTACTTCTTCCGCAGTTGCAAATCTTCCTGTCTTTTGTCTCTTCAGGAAATAATTCAGTGCCTGGGATCAGAGACCATTCCAGACATCAGTGATGCTGGCTGACATGTGTGCACACCTGCAACTTCTTTAAGGTGTGAAAAGCAAGGAAATCTACAAAGGAACTATGGGTTTGCCACCTTGAAGAACCATCAGCTGGGGTTATGGTGATTCTTTCACCCAAGGTGCTCAAACTATCCATGATATAATGACACCTACAGATGCTGTGACACATCAGAAAGCTGATATAAAAGAAGAATGTTTTTTATTTTATTTTATGGTAAAACATGTAACATGAAATTTACAATTTAACTATTTTAAGTGCACGGTTCTGTAGTGTTAAAGACATTCACATTGTCTTACCACCTTCTGATCTCCAGAATGCTTTCCATCTTGTTAAAATGAAACTCCATACTTATAAAGTAGTAACTTTTCATTCCCCTCTGCCCCAGCCCCTGGTAACCATTTTCTGTCTCTATGAATTTGTCTACTCTGGGTAAGGAGGAGGAAATTTTTTAACCAAAATGTTTAAACATATTTAAAATTCTAGTAATACCTCTTCAGGATTTTCTCTGGCTTGTATTCTTTCTTGCAGAGATGGGGTATCAACGGTTCCTAAATCACAGGATGACATTCAGTTTGGTTACTTCTTTAAACCAAAAAAGTAGATAATTAAACTTTAAACTTCCTTTCCATATAATACAATTAGTGACACCCTTCTCCTTTGACTTAAAATGACAATTTCTCCTTGGCTGCCTGATCTCTTGACATGTAACTTCTTTAATAACATTACTATGATTTTTCTCAAACAGACTATGATTATTTGTAACAACCACAATGAGATGTAAATAAAATCATCCAAGCATTTTATCATCCAGTTTGCCTTAATGATCTCAAAAACATTCTTTGCTGATAAGTTTTCTGTAGGGATCCTTAGGTACAACTCCAACACTGCCATCATTCTTGGTGATTTAGGTGGCTATAAATCTTCCTTAAAATTTTGCCTATTTTCATTGGTTCTAAATTCCTGTTTTTAACCACTGTTTTAAATTTTTAATAAAAATTATGATTTGAAATTGTTTTACTTTGAAAAAGAAAAATAAGCTAGGCATGGTAGCATGTGTTCCTGTAATCCCAACAGCTCAGGAGACTGAGGCAGGAGGATTGCAAGTTCAAAGTCAACCTCTGCAATTTAGTGAGGCCCTAAGCAATTTAGTGAAATCTTGTCTCAAAATAAAGATAAAAAGGACTGAGGATGTGGCTCAGTGTTTAAGCACCCTTGGGTTCAATCCTTAGCACCAAAAAGAAAAGAAAAATAAGAATGAAACTAAAATTTTAAAGTCCATGTGTTTCTACAGCAAGCTCTCCAGACTTCTTATTTATTTATTTATTTATTTATTTATTTTTTAGGTGTAGATGGACAATGCCTTTATTTTTATGTGGTGCTGAGGGTCGAACCTGGGTCCTGCCCGTGCTAGGCGAGCACTCTACCACTGAGCCACAATCCCAGCCCAAGACTTCCCAGATTATAACTCATATAATCTGTAATTTCTCTTTAGAGGACTTTTTTTTTTTTGAGACTGTACAGTCTAGTACTCTGGGGAACCATGTGATCTTTTGAGGTTGTAACAAATATAACAAATGCTTTTACAGTCATACCCTCAGCTTCATCTTTAGAATATGCTCCTGAGAATGCCATAGATCTGATCTCTGCTCTGAAACCATTACTTAAATTGAGCATGGTTGCGTACAGCTATAATCCTAATCACTACCACTCAGGAGGCTGAGGCAGGAGGATTGCAAGTTCAAGGCCAGCCTCAGCAACTTAGCAAGGCCCTATGCAACTTGACAAGACTTTGTTTCAAAATAAAATAATAATAATAATTTTAAAAAGAGAGCTGGAGATCCTTGGGTTCAACCCCTTGGAGGAAAAAAAAGGAAAAAAAAAATTCTTAGTTGTGGTATCATTTTTTCCATTTCTAATGGAGAGGCTGAGAATCTTCAAAATCAGAAACCCTGACACCTACATGTCAGGTGAGCCCTTTCTTCAGGTTCTTTCTCTCTTTTTACACTTTATCATAAGCAGACAGCACTTTCAACACGCTGGGTGGAAACTGCCTTAGCTAGATCACCCAGTTCATTAGAAATATTTTCTACCTTCACATTACTACAGGAACTAAGGTCTGCTTTTGCCCACTTTCCAATGTTTCCCCCCTTGTCAACAGCTTCCTTAATGTCCAAAGTTTTACTATCAGGGGGTACCTTCAGTTTCTACACTCTCCTCAAAACCCTTAAAGCTTTAAGAGTTTGCTGTCACTGAGGTGGGTGAGCATGGCATCTTACAGGGCTGGTGCTGATGGCTATTAAATGAAAACTGTAGAGCAAGCCAATGCCTGCAGATGAATTCAGCTGTCACTTGACTCTGCTGGGTCCATGACACAGACGGACAGACACCCTGTCTACGCATATCTGGTTGGAGATTCCTGACTCACATCATCAGCACCGTCCCCGTCACACTCATTCCTGCTCAGGTTTCTTCTGTGTTTGGCTCTGTGAATCACAGACTGTTCCTTGTTCCATAGACTTTGGGAACATATTTTCCAATCTTATGAAAAATCCAGCTGCTGAAATAACCACATTTTCCAAACCATTTTGCCATTTTTTTTCCTCCACTGGGTAAATAGTGCCAAGAATGGCTACATTCAAGTAACACCAATGTGTACATCAAAACCCAGAGAAACCCTCTCTCCTGTTTTATTCTTTTTCTTAGTGTTATCTATATTTACATTTCTACTCCAAGAAAAATAAAGCAGCATATCTCAATCACTGAAAATCTGTAGCTGGAAGGATATTTCATAGTTTTCCCTCCTGTAAGTGGTTTTTATCCCAAGATTCAAGCAGAATCTCTTGTGGGACTTTCCAAAAGACAGGCAGTTCTCCCCCATCAACTCCTTCCCCAAATTCTGGCATGCCATGCCCTTCAGGTTTGGAAAGTTCCCACAGGTAATTTAAAAATAGTCCTCCCAAATCCTCCAACGTCAGCAGACAACTTCTGAAAACTATGATCTTGCATAGGCAGTGTTTCTTTTTGGAGGACATTAATAATCATTAGGTACCCTCTATTCATTTTGGGTGGTGGGACTAGGTCAAAGCAATATCTATCAAACAGACACATCCACAGTTACTGAAAGTCTCACTTTTCTTCTTCCTTTGTATGAGGGGCCAGAACACTTTTTTTGATAGAAATAGCAAACATTTTTGGCTTTGAGATCCATTTGGTCTTTGCCTTTGCAGCCTGAAAACACAGCCAATACATGGCAAGTTGACTGTGAGTGTGTTCCAATAAAACTTTAAAACCAAACAGGTGGTATCCAGAGTTGGCCTGCAGACCTTAGTTTGCAGGCCCCTTTTTATTGCATAAAGAAGGGTTAAAGTCTCCTTTTGATTTCTGAGTCACCCCATGATTTGGATAGATCCCTATGCTCTGCCAGACTCCCTTTACTTTCTCCCTCCTGTCTTATAAACATGGTCTGCTTTTTAGCTTTCCCCTGATAAGGTCACCCTGGTCTGATTCCCAAATATCAGGCCCTAACAAGTTTTGTCTTAGGCACTTGATTGCAAATTGCCCTGCACATGTGGGTGGCTTTTAAATCCTTTGCATCTGTGACTCTTTCCTAATGACTAAGGGTCTCTTTCCCAACTTACAACTGGAAGACTCTTACCTTAGGAAGACCAGAATCTTTCTTTTGAACTTTTCCCAATGACAGAATACAATGTAACATTTGGTAAATGAACTTACGCAAAATGTCTCTCACAGTGGCAAACAGGATATCAGAAAGGACAAGTTCACAGCCCTGAAATTGCCGGACTCACCTGGGCACACACAGTTGCACCTAATACCCTGCTGGATGAAGTCTGCAGCCACGGACTTTGTAAGGCCAATCACGGCTGCCTTGGTGGTGCTATACACACACCTGTTCACCACTCCTGAGGGGCAAGGCAAAGAGGGACAATTGAAGGAATCAGAAACACAGTCTCTTTTAGAGAGGAAATACAAGGTAGTTTTCTCAATAGTATTTTCCTGCTTCCTCCCACCCTCCTTAAAAAAAAAAGAAAGAAAGAAAGAAAGAAATCAGGTTTTCTCCTTTAATAGGCCAGTTGCCGCACCTAGGAAAATAATTTTAGTATAGGCACAATTTAACTGAGACCCAGGTGTTGAGATGCTGCAGTTACTTAATAACCAACAGCAGTCTGCTTCTTGTTGTCCATTGCTATAACTCTTAAGCAGATTCTAAAAGAAAAAAAAATGGAGGAGAAACAAAACCAAGCAATATATACAAGTGTAGGCACTTCTTTACATTCCTCCCTTGAGCATGCTGAGAGTGTGTGTCCTTGAGAAGAAAAGAAACATTACCTCAGCAGTAGCTGTTTCATTTAAAACTCAAATCCACCTGAGCCAGGCTGTGACATTATCTCCATTTTCCCCTGCCATCCTATTCCTTCGACTTGGCTTCTCATTCAGAGTCTAAATCAACTGTCTTTGGGAAGCATTCCTCAAACCCTTGGGCAGAGTCCCCTCCCCTATAATGTGAGGGCACTTTGCACAAACCTCTTGTTAGAACACTCTCACACTGTAGGATGGTGTTTGCCTGCCTTTCTCCTCCTTTTGGACTATGAATTTGGGGAGGCAGGTGCTCACTCTATCATTCTATCATCTTTTGTGTTTTTTGTTTGTTTGTTTGTTTTTACTTTTTCTGAGGAATAGAAGTTTATGTTAACATTTATAACTGCACTTTACCATTTTGCAGAGTAATTTCAGGTACATGGATCTTTCCTTTCTTCTCCCTTTTGTTCATTTTCTTTCTTTCTTTTTTTTTTAGACAGGGTCTCACTATGCTGTCCAAATTATGCTCAAACTCAGGAGCCTCCTACATCAGCATCCCAGGTAGCTGGGATTGTAGGTTGTACCATTGTGCCCAACTCAGTATATAATTTTGGATTAATTAACTGATAAATGCTTCCTTCCCCAGCTCCACAGTCATCTCCATGTCCATTAGAAGAAATAAAAGGGAAGTGTTAGGGCTGGCCCCAAAATGGCTGTAGTAAGGCTCCCTCACCAAAACTTCTGATGGGCTATATTCTTCTTATTATTATTATTAAATTTTTTTCTTTTTTTAAAATATTTTTTTAGTTGCAGATTATTTAGTTGTTTATATTTAATGTTGTGCCAGGGATAGAACCCAGTACCTCATGCACGCTAGGCAAGCCCTCTACCACTGAGCCACAACCCCAGGCCCTACGTTATATTTTTAGTGTGTAGCCAGGTCTGAGAACTGACTATGTAAGGGTTAGTCAAGGCCAGAAACACTGTGACTCAGTGTATAGACTCAAGGTCACACACATTAACTTGTGAGTATGCACCACTACCCCCCCTGCCCCTGTTGGTAGTGTGCCTTATTTGTTTGGCCTGCATATAAAAAGGACCTATGGAAATGGGCTGGGGTGGGGGCTAAAATGGAACTGGGGGCTGAAGCTGAAAATGGGGGCTGGCTAATGGCTATGGCCGTCTCTGAATAAAGGTTGACCAATATGCCTCACATCTTCTTCTACCTGCTGAACCCTGAATCTGTTCCCTGGGACAGAGCCCCTGCAGAACAGGAAGACAAAGAAGATATTTAATTTTATGTCTATGACAATAGGTCTGATGGTCAAGGAATGTATTACCAACATTTTAAAAAAGCAGTTTTGAAATGATATATGGGTTTTATGACCTCAGCTATGTGTACTCCCAAAACCCACAGCTCATAAGTGTGTGCGTGTGAGCATCATGAACTCCAGAGGAAGGAAGGCACTCCTACCTTTGATGCTGGAGGCCACAGAGGACATGTTGATAATGTTGCCGGATTTCTGAGCAAGCATCTGACAAAACAAAACAACTGTGAACAGGGAGATACTCTGTAGCTCAAAATACTCTGGCTTTAAAATGTTTTAATTTACTTATGGTTTGCAGAACCAATTTAACCGTGGCATTAACTATTTGTGTTAGAAACTGTTAACAGTAAACCCACAACACCCGGCCCACCCATCTGCCGCTGGGAACTGGTGGCCTGTGACACATTCACTGACATCTCTGAGGAGCCTTACCACCTTCCCATAGTCCATGACCAAGGATGAACTCCGAGCCAAATGGAATACGAATGGAAGCCAATCATTACGGTGTGTTCCTGATGTTAGGACATTATCACTCCATTCAAAACACACACATGCACACACACACATATCTTTTGTGTTGTGGAACTGGGCATTGAGCCAGGGGAGCTCTATCACTGAACTATACCCCAGAATTTTTTATTTTGAGAGAGTTGCACTGAGTTTCCCAGGATGGCCTTGAATGTCCTGCCCCAGCCTCCTGAGTTGCTGGGATTGCAGGCATGTGCCACTGTGACTAGCTCAACACCTATTTGTTGAATACTAACTGTTTGGGAGATTCAGAGATAAATGACACAGCCCTGCCTATAGGGAGCAGTCAATCAGCCAGCCAGCCTGGTGTGGTTGACATAATCAAAGTCTAATGACAGTGAAGAACTCCAGAGATCTAAGGGAAGGGTGGGGGCAGGAGGCACCAATCCAGGCTGGTGGGGGGGGGGGCACTTGGAGGGGAGCTCCTGAGTGGGAGGTATAAGGACAGAATTCCCAAAACTAAAGTATTAGAAAAATAAAAGAGTGTTTCAAGGGAAGGCTATCACATGTACAAACTGGGAGGAGTGGATGGGCCTGGCTGGAACACAGAGTATTGAAAGAATGAGGGTGCAGAGTTCATCAGGGGCTAAACCAAAGAACCCGAGTCAGTGACATGGAAGGGTTTAAAGCAGAGGAGGAGAGGCCGATTCAGATTTAGGATTACAGAGACTACTGTGGCAGCATTCAGAGACCAGTGAAAGCTGATGTAGTGATTGAGGAAAAGATGGTAAAAGTGGGGTCCCAGAAATGTCCGAGGAGCAGAGGTAGCAATCACCAGCTGGGTAGGCAGGACTTGATCCGTAGTTACTGCAGTGAAGTGAGTCCCACTCAGGACAGTGTTTCCTAAGGATGCCTCCCTCAGGCTTTCCCCACTAAAATGTAAATTCAACAAGAGGAGGGACTTTGGCTATTTTGTGCCCTTAGAAAGGTTACACAGTAGACCATCAATAAAATTTGATGAATCAAAATTTCCTGAGGTGCTAGATTAGAAGACAGATTGCTGGGTCCTGTCCCAAACCTAACAGAATCTATAATACACACAGCTGCTATGAATTACAAAAAGGTTTTCAAATGAACGTATGCTTTGTTAGCCATAACATGAATGTTTTTTGAGATTATAGGAATATGTGTAAGGACATGGGCACCGTGGCTGCTTTGGGGAAAGAAGCAGGAAGCTGAAAGAACTCTTGGCACTAAATTCCCATGAAATCAACAGCAAGGCAGATGGCCAACAAGAATCAGATGGACATCACTACCCTAAGTACATGTCTGATGACACAAATGGTGTGACTCTACTTTGTGTACAACCAGAGATACGAAAAACTGTGCTCCATTTGTGTACTATGAACTGAAATGCATTCTGCTGTCGTGTATACCAAACTAGAACAAATGAAAAGAAAAAAAAAAAAAGAACAAGGCAGAGATGGTGGAGAGTAAGAGAGCAGCAAAGTGTTAACATCACTGCTGGGGGTAGTGCAGAACAAACTAGAGAACCGCAGGAAACCCAGCAGGGTGGTCATATCTTGAAAATGAAGTAAAGAAAGGGTTTTAAAAAGGAGGGGTCTCTATAGGTGATGCAAAGGGTCTAGAGAGAAAAAAAAATCACTTCTGTCAAGGTGAGTTTCTTTAGCAGTTTTCAGGAAAAAAAGAGGTGTAGGAAAGGGAGAGGTATGTGACAGACAAATCCAGGGTTAGGCTGGCCAAGATGATAGGGTTCTTTATTGTACTTTTTCTATCTTCTGGTTTTTGTTTGTTTGTACTGGGGATTGAACCCAGGGGTGCTGAGCCACTGAGCCACATCCGCAGCCCTTTTTATTTTTTATTTTGAGATAGGGTCTCCCTAAATTGCTTAGGGCTAAGTTGCTAAGGCTGACCTCAAACTTGTGATCCTCCTGCCTCAGCCTCCTGAGTCACTAGGACTTACTTTCGGTTCTAACACTTAGCTACTAATTGTACCTAAGAACTGACAATCTAAAATAGCCCCAAGGCATTGTGTGAATGTACTAAATGGACACCAAGGGAAGCTGTGGTGACCCAACCATGTCAAGGAAGATAGCTAGGAAAAACTAATATTTTGTGTTTCCTTATATGATAAAGGGGATCATCATGAATTGGGGTTCTCTTAAAGGGATCAGGAATGTTAGTAATGCTTACTGGTATAAACTCAGGAATGTTAGTAATGCTTACTGGTATAAACTATCTTACTGGTATAAACTATCTTACGTATAAACCAAGCCTTAAAGTCGCTCTTTCTCATTCAATTTAGTAACTAATCTACTTATAATACACTGAGAATATATTCAAGCTATTTTAATATATAAAGAAGGCTATTATGTAGGCTCAGTCTCCAGTCTTCTGAAATGCAGTAATTCTTTGGGCAAAACTTAGAAAACAGTCACCTTGGAGGCATTTGTCCTGCCCACTGACACTCATACTATCCATTCGACCCAGGACCATCAGCCAATTTTGAAGACATTGCTCACTTCTTCTAGGCTATGTTCCTTGCCCAACACTAGCTCAGGCCAGGCCCCAATTTTTTCCCTAATGGATCTTCTCCTCTGGTGGAACTTGCATTCTGCATGGACCTCTTCTTACAGTACGTTCACCTTGTGCTCTGTTTTTTGACTGATCTTTCAATCTTGCAGTGTTCTTTATTTTATTTATTTATTTTTTTGTATCTCCACATAAACAAAATTATTCTGCAACTGTTTCTGTGTTTTGACAACCTGATCTTTCCGTTCTGCCCAGGCTCTAAATCCTGGCTTCCTCTGGAAAGTTCCAACTGGTATATGTGTGTCATAGTTTATGACAGGGAAGATCCTACATAGTTAGGGCTGGAAGTGATTGCACAATTTCTGGCCCTCATTTTTAGATAGAAGAAATAAATACCGAGAAAGAGAGCATGTGTCATCTCCCAAGGCACCTGGCTGATTTGAGACAGAATTGAGACCGTGCCTGGGGACTTCTGATGCAAGTGTTTGAAACTGGTAATTAAGTTAGTCTGAGCCACTTTAAACAACTTGCACTGAATCCTTCTGATTTTACATCCTAATTATAACTACCTCTCAAAGTTTTTTTTTTTTTTTAAATAAATGTGTGTTATTGCCTCTTATAGATCATTGTTAAGATTAAAGTTGAGTATGGTGGCATGACTGGAATCCTAGCTACTTGGGAGGCTGAAGCAGGAAGATGGCAAATTCAAGGTCAGATTGGGCAACTTAGACCATCTCAAAATGGAAAATTAAAAGATGTAGGGATGCAGCTCAATGGTGGAGTACTTGCCTAGCAAGTGTGAGAACCAGAGTTCAAACCTTAATACCTGGGAGGAAAAAAAAAAAAAAAAAAAACACAGAGCTTTAAGTCATAGACAAGTTTATTAATTTACAAGTTGACCTTGGTATATTTAGAAAGTTAACCTACATGTTTAAATTTCAGCTTCACTATACTCAACACCTACTTCCTTATCTAGTATTTGTGAGTACTTTAGCAGTGGGCTCTGTTTTACCAATGAGTCTCATACATGTCTTACCCACTGTGATGTAATTTCCCCCTTACCATGGGCTCTGCTTCATCCTCATATACTGTGCAAAGGATCTGTCTTTCAAAAATACATGGAAGTTCCAAATAATATTTTATTTATATATATGTATATATAAAATATAATAATATAAATCATTTATATTTTCATTCATTCCTGGGCACACCTAAGATCCCTTATAGGCACTAAACAGATAAAACAAAACAAAACAAAAAAAACCCAAACATTTCCTTCATTATCAAGTTAGTTTCCTTAATCTTGCTGCTAATGTTCACCTGGATCCTTCTTGACATCTGGTTGACTCTCAGAGCAAAGTATCGGCTTTGCTGCGTCCTTAACACAGCTCTTCTCCAGTCCTGGGTTGACTGGCATTCAAAACCCCCAGTCATCTAATTCAGCCAGGACAGGAGGGCAGCAGTGTCCCCTCTGCATTTCACCAGGGTTCACTTTACAAATTTGAGCTGAGCCAGTTCTGTACTCAGTCTCTTTCATTGTCTGCTATTAATGGCTTATGAGCTCATTCAAAGTCAGGGCTGCATGCATCCTACATTTATACCCCCAGAGAACCTAGTAGAATACTTCCTACTGAAAAGGGTTTTGTTTGTTTGTTTTCAATTTATACTGGGCAATGAGTATTTCTTTCCTGTTGCTATTGTTTTTGTTTTAATTACCTGCCCTGCTAACTTGTGTAGCAATCAAGTCCACTGTACTTTCAGTCCTTTTACAAGACCTAAATACTAACACTCTTACGAGGAAAGTATTTACACAAAGGAGCGAGGTTTACCCAAACAAGAAGGCTAAACTCTTCTACATATTTTTATAACTGTGCCATATCACAAAACAAATCACTATATCCCCAACAGGTAAGGTGCTCTGTCCTAACATGCCTTCATAATATTCCAGTTAGAAATGCCATTTCTTGCAGCAATTCAACCTTTCAATGCTGGTGGAATGTGTTGTGATTCAATTGTACCTTTATTCAGTCATGCTGCAGGGACAGTGGGCTGCATCCGTTTCATAAGGCTGTCATAAGACAGTGCCAAATATGGGGTGTTTAAGGATAGAAATTTATATGTCCTAATTCCAGAGTGCTTGCTAGAATGATTTTCTTTGAGGCCCACTCTTTGGCATGTAGATTGCCATCTTCTGTCTCGATGTTGGCATCTGTGCTTCTCTGTGTCTTTAGTGCCACTTCCCTAAAAGGTTTCTAATGCTTGTTTGTAAAAGTAAATTTAAAATATCAATGAGCTTTATGAAGGCTGGAGAATTAAAAAGAAGTTAACTCAAGAGGAATGTTTGCTTTCTTTCATTTTATTTTTGGTACCAGGGATTGAACCCGGGGGCACTTAAGCACTCAGCCACAACCCCAGCCCTTTTTAAAATATCTTATTTACAGACAGGGTTGGGTCTCACTAAGTTCCATAGGCTGGCTTTCAACTTGAGATCCTTCTGCCTCAGCCTTCTGAACCTCTGGGATTATAGGTCTGTGCTCCTGTACACCCTCTCTCTTCTCTCTAGTACCCCTGTGGCTCAGCTAAAGTAGGAGCTAAAGGAGAATCTTCAGGGTAGAGAGAGGCAACAGGGTCCATCCATTCCCAGTGCAATTGAGGAGGCACTGAATTTTCAGGCTTCAAATTTGGGTTTTAGCTATTGGTTGGTTGTGTGACCTTGGGAAAGTGACCTAACCTCTTGGTTTTACCCTCTGTTTAGTCAGTGGATGTATGTTATGGTTTGGATGTGAAGTGTCTCCCAAAAGCAAGAAGGTTCAGAGGAGAAATGATTGAGTTCTAAGAGTCTTAACCCAATCAGTGGATTAATCCCCTGATAGGGATTAACTGAGTGGTCACTGAAGTGGTAGCGTGTGGCTGGAGAAGGTGGGAATTAGGGCATGGCTTTGGGTATAAATTTGTATCTGGTGAGTGGAGACCTCTCTCTCTACTTTCTGATTACCATGTGAGCTGCGTCCCTCTGCCACACCTTTCTGCCAAGAGGTCCTGCCTCACCTTGAGCCCCAAGGAATGGAGCCAGCCTTCTATGGACTAAGACCTCTGAAAACGAGAGCCCTCAAATAAACTTTTCCTCCTCTACAATTGTGCTGCTTGGGTTTTTTAGTTAACAGCGGTGAAGCAGCTGATTAAAACAATGTGATAGGATAGTAACTATCTCATAGGCTTCTTCACAGTACTTACAACTCCTCCACATATTCTATGTCTATTTAATTACCTGTTATCCTGTTTCACCCTTCAATAATGAAAGCTTTCTCATAAAAAGGATTTTGTTTGCTGATGGATCTTCTGTGGTTGAAATAGAGCCTGGCATGTAGAAAGTGTTTAATTTATTTCTTGAATGTATGAATAGAGAGGTTAAGTGAATTAATTGATATCAAATGCCCAGACTTAAATGTTCAGTGCACACTAGTTGTTCTATAGTCACTCCCCAGCACACACGGGCATCCTTCCTAGGTGCCCAGCATGGAGACCTAGTGTGGTGCTAGCCTGGTGGTGGTGGTGGCCTTACTTTAGGAAGGAATGCCTTGATCATCAGGTACATGCTGCGGACGTTGAGATTCATGGAAAAATCCCAGTCTTTTTCCTCACAGTCCAGGATGGTTCCATGATGAACAAAACTGAAAGAGGGATTAAACAGTGGTGTTGGTGATGTCACTAAAGGGCTAGGGACAAAGCTCAGCCATAAAGTGCTTGTCAGTATGCATGGGGCCCCAGTTCAGTCCCTAGCACTGTTCAAAACAACAACAACAACAAAAAACTGCTATTAAAATGTATAATTCATTTGTGAATCACTCTTATTGACTTAGACCCTTGTCTCTTTGCCTTATCAAGACTTTAAATAATTCAAACATAGTATCACTTAGCATATTGTTAGTAAGGATCCCAACAACTTAAGCTAGAACGTTTGTTATCTGAGAACAATATTCTTTTTTTTTTTTTTTTTAAAGAAAAAGACAAGAGTTTGGGGTTTCCAAACCAGAGAAGCTCTATATCAGCTGCACTGGAAACATCAATGCTATTAAAAACAAATAATGAATCTAAGATATCGGCCCCATTCAACTCTATTTTAAGAGCAACAGTGCCCTCAGGTGGTGTGAATTGAGTGCTCTCCAGAAAAATCATTGGCAAGAAAACCAAGTGTGAATCAGTGTCTCAGGATAGCAAAGCAACTTGGCTGCTGTTTACTTGCACGGCAGAACAAAACCAAACCCTAAAATAATCTGCTCTCCTGTTCCAGTCACACTTCCTCAGGGAAGCTTCCTTAACACTGAAGTCCTTATTGGTTTCGTTATGTAATCAATTACTAAGTATTGTTGGTGGGGGATTCCCTTGTGCTACAGGACTCCCAGTTTGGTCAGACAGGTCAGCCCCCTGCCAGCGTGAACCACCAACCACATGCTGTATTTCTGTATCCTCTACACTGCTGAAAATTTAATAAATGCTCAAAAACTAACTTAGCTGTTTTTGTCATGTCTCGAGGTATATTCTTACATTTTAAAAATAGATAATCAGAAATCACTATTTCACTTCCAGACACTGATACAGCACTGGTACTTCCACCGCACATGACACAGCATTGCACCAGTACCAGTTGTCTTCCATGGTCTGAAACTGCTTTTAGGCCCCAAGTGCGTGTCTCTCTGGTTGTCTTACTTGCTGAATCTTACGGGTAATGAAAATGCCATCTGGAATCTAGTCATACTTCTCAAGGAATGTATCAGGGTCCACAAAGAGTAACTTTGCTATATTATCAAAATTATTTTTTTTTAAAAGTCATAGAAAACTTTCTGAAAGTGAAATCAAAGAATTATAAATTACCCAGCAACATTAAAGAGAACATCAATTCTTTCAACCTCACTGGCAAACTGATCAATTTGTTTCTTCTTTGTGACATCAAGGACACGAGTTTGGATACCTGAAAGTGAAATAAAAGACACTATTTACTATGTGGCACATATATACAATAGAATATTACTGAGCCATAAAGAAGAATGAAATTATGACACTTGCTGGTATATGGATGGAACTAGAGAATATCATGCTAAGTGAAATAAGCCAATCCCCCCAAATCAAAGGCTGAATGCATTCTCTGATATGTGGATGCTAACACACAAAAGAGGCAGAGGATGTTCACTGGATTAGACAAAGGGGAATGAAGGGAAGGAAGCAGGGATGGGAACCGGATATAGCTTTCCTATGCTCGTATATGAACACATGACCTGTGTAACTCCACATCATGTGCAACCACAAGAATGGGATCTTAATAAGAATAAGACACTCTCCATGTATGTGTAATAGGTCAATATACACTCTACTGTCATGCATATCTAAAAAGAACAGATATAAAAAGAAAGTTTAAAACATAAAGTGCACTGAGATTGTACACACGCACACACACACACACACGCATGCACAATACCCACTTACCAATAACCATAAAAATGTTTAATCTTGAAAATTTAGCAGTTTTTGAAGCATGGAGAGTGAAGAATGCAGTATCTGCCCAGTTAAGGCACACAGGATGGTGGGCTGTCATTACAGGGTCTTAAGAATCTTAAAAATCTCATTAAAATGTATAACATCCCCCCAATGCCCCCATCCCTCTTCTTTACCATTTCTAAATTGAACAACAGGCTCCTTTCTGAGTGATGCCTTTAGGGTGAACGCTCACTGAGTCACATTAGACGTGTCCTAACCCAGCAGCGAGGACAGAAGTGGCACATTTCAGCCCATTCTTTCCCCAAAGACTGTGTTGCCCTTGGACTGGTTACTAAAACAAATCTGTGTTCTCTAACAAAATCAGCATTTATGTCTCTTTAAAAAAAATACATATGTTTTTTATTATTTTGATATACAAAGAAAAGATTAACAAACAGAGAAAAGGAAGACTGAATTTTTGCTTCAGCAAGACTTCACTTCCAGTACAGCAGCTTTATTTTGATTTCTTGGCATTATAATTCAACATATTTTGATTCAATTGGCTAATTCAAGGACTAATGTGAGCTTGATTCATGTAACTTGTCCTATTTTACTGAACAGTTGACTTTTTTTTTATTTTTAGTTGTTGATGGACCTTTATTGTATTTACTTATTTATATGTGGGGCTGAGACTCAAACCGAGTGCCTCACATGTGTGAGGCAAGCGCTCTATTGCTGAGCTACAACTCCAGGCCCTGAACGGTTGACTTTGAAATGGGTTTTCTGTTCTGATTTCTTTCAGGGTAATTGCAGTGCTCTGAGGTTGGAGTTAGATTGAGTGCCCTGCAGTAAATGTAGTTGCACACCCAAATCAGCTGGGTGATCTCTTAGGGTTTCTCACCACGATATGTGACTTTAGGGCTATGCTATCCCAGGATGGTAACCACTAGTGAGCTACATGTGGCTTGTGAGCACCTGGAATATAGTTGGTGTGATCTGAAACATGCATATATGTAAAATACACGTGGATTTTGAAGATTTAGTATGAAAATGCTGCGATGTTGGTCAAAGGATACAACCTTGCAGTTAGGAGTAAATTATGAAGACTAATTTACATAGTTAACACCATGTATTGTATGCTTGCAATTAACCAAAATACCTTAAGTATTTTCATCACACATACAGAGAGAGAGAGAGAGAGAGAGAAATATGTGAGGTGATGGATATTTTGGATATCAAAATATCACATTGGGCTGGGGATGTGGCTCAGTGGTTAAGCACTTGCCTAGTATACAGGAAGCCCTGGGTTCTATGGGGGGAAAAATTCCCCAAAGCAACGGCAACAACAATAAAACCAACCACATCATGGTGTACACCTTGAAAACACACAATTTTTGTCAGTTACAGTTACAACTGTTACAACTCAATAAAGCTGAAAAAACTGATCGAGGCTTGTAATAAAGTTGTGATAGTTCAAATCAAAAGATTAATTATGAAAAAAGAAGGTATAATATTTTGCTAATTTTTAGTACTGAGTACATGTTGAGATGATAATATTTTAGATAACTTGGGTTAAATAAATAATAAAATTAATTGCCACCTGTTTTACTGTTTTAAAGTGGCTGCTAGAAAATTTACCAATACACATGTGGCTCACATCAGGTTACTTTTGGACAGGGCTGCTGTAGAGAACAGAACAGAAGAGTTGTCGTGAATAGGTAACCTAACAAGTCTTCACACATAGCTTGGTAATTTGAAACTTAAGTTCTCAACATATTGATAAATAAAAAGTTTTAAGTATATATCTTCAAATTTCTTTTTCCAGTCTTTTTCTCTTTCTTTCTTTCTTTTGGGTAATAAACTCAGGAATGCTTTACTACCAAGCTACATCTTCAGTCCTTTTTAATTTTTCATTTTGAGACAGGGTCTAGCTAGGTTGGGATTCTCCTGCCTCAGCCTCCTGAGTCTCTGGGATTATAGGTGTGCACCATCTCTTGCCCTTTTTCTTTTTTTCTTTTCTTAGAAGTGGAATTCAGTTTTGCTTTGTCCTCTTCATGACTACCATGACTTCCTCTATTGAAGACAGGAAGAAAAGTCCCAGCCTTATGCCACAGAATTCAAGTGCTCATGTACTTGTTAGAGGTGGCAAGACACCTGTTTCTCCAGGTTTTGACTCTGAGAGGTGATGCTTTCAGTATCAGGGTAGGGAGGAACTACTGCCAAACCATTGGGAATGTCTTCTGGATTAGTCAGTGCGCCAATTTATAAAGTGCTGCTGGAGTTAATATCTGTCAAGCTGTCAAAAGTGTCCACACTTGCAACAAACAGTAAAAGAATCCCAGGGCCATCGCAGAGTCCTTCCCAGCTGAGTCTGGTCATTATTGCAGAGCTGCTTTAACCTCAGAGACGCTGTCCCTCACCTCAGATGGAGCCTCCCAGATGCTCTTCAGGTGATGGACTGTAATTTGGAAACTCATCTGATGTATCAAGAATAGCTCAATGGGCTGGGGTTGTGGCTCAGCTTGCCTTGCATGTGTGAGGCACTGGGTTTGATGCTCAGCACCACATAAAAGAATAAATTAATAAAGTTGTTATGTCCGACTACAGCTAAAAAAAAAAAAGATATGAGGCAACCACATCGTAAAAAAAAAAAAAAAAAGAATAGTGTTCAAGGCCTGTGGATGTCGCTCAGCCTGCTACTTGGAGGCTGAGGCAGGAGAATTGCAAACCACAGGTCAGCCTTGCAACTTAGGTAGACCCTGTCTCAAAAACAAAAATTAAAAAGGTCTGGGGATGCAGCTCAGAGGTTCAGCACCCCTGGAGTCAATCCCCAGTACCAGAATATTCTTTTATTATTTGATTTCATTTTTTCCTGGAAATAGACGGTGTCCTCAGAATTCTTACTCTATGAGCTAATCAAGGAAACATGTCTTCCAAGAAAAAAATGGATGGTCTAACTGCAATCCTTAAGAGATCCACAATGATCAAGATCCCCAACAACAAGGAAAATCTAAGAGCTGGGTGCCTGGATATGCACACTAATCCCACCCACCCACTCAGAAACCTGAGGCTGAAGACCTAAGTTCAAGGCCATCCTGGGTAGGTTAGGGAGACCCTGTCTCAAAAAAAAAAAAATGGCTGGGAATACTGCTGAGTGGCAGGGCACCTCTGGGTTCATGCCCAGTGTGAAGGTGGGGTGGGATGGGGGAGCATACAGGGCAGAAAAGTGGCCTGAATGTGGAGAAGGCCAAAGACATTCATAGGGACACTCAGGTTCCTTCCGCTCCACAAGAAGATGAGCATTACTGTGAAATGGACCCAGAAAACGAAGCTCACAAACAAATCAGAGTCATTAATTATTCACCAAAAGGAACAAGAATACAAGATCTGCTGTCTTACTGTGGGAAGAGCCGCTTTCCAGCATTTGATAGTAACAATGTAGAAAAATCATGTGAAACAAGAGATTGAAGTTAACTGTTCCCCCAAATACAAAATCGCTGATTAACCTCCATGTTTGAAAGTGTTTAAAAACTGAGGGTGGAAGCACAACTGATCCCAAGGGCATGGTGGCGGTGGACAAACGCAGCTTGTGGTGGGACCTGTACAGCCCCAGGCTCTGGCTCATCATCTGAGCCCTGCACCCACAGTGCCCCTTCCTCCGTTACCCAGATTTCATTTAAGGACACAGATTTTTGTGTGTTTTGAGGCCAATGAGCCAGAATCTAAAGAGGCAGCCAGTGTTGCTGAGCTAAGGAGCTCATTAAGCAATCCCTGGCATATAGGAAGCTCTCTCTCTCTTTCTTTTCTCTCTCTCTCTCTCTCTCTCTCTGTGTGTGTGTGTGTGTGTGTGTGTGTGTGTGAGTGTGGTGCTGGGGATTGAATCCAGGGCCTATGCATGCTAGGCAAGTGCTTTATCGCTGAGCTACCTCCCCAGGCCAAGGAGCTCTCTTGAACCTTCAAATGTCATTGCTTTGTAATGCCTGACAGACTCTGAACCCCAAGGTCCAGCTGCTCAGTGGCTTACCTGGGTAGTTTTCCAGTTCCTGAAGTTTGGACTCATTGATGTCCGTGGCTATGACTTTGGCACCTTCATTTGCAAAAGCCTGGCAGACACAAAGTACAAATAACTACTTCATTTACTCAATTAAAATGCTAGGAGGAATGGAAAACATCTGATCTTTTTTCTTTTTTTCTTATTTTCATGGCTGTTTCCCCTATAAAATACGTGGAATTTCAAACTACCCAGTCTTGCTTCCCTTTCCCCACTCTGATTATTTTTATTTATTTTCATCATTCTTTAGAACAATGTGACATATATTCTGCATGTCTTTTGACTTTTTCTCTTTAATATCAAACAACATAGTATTTATTTATTTATTTATTTATTGGTACTGGAGATTAAACCCAAAGGCACTTAACCACTGAACCACACCCCCAGCCCTTTTTATTTTGAGACAGGGTTTCACTAAGTTGCTTAGAGCCTTGCTAAGTTGCTGAGGCTGGCTTGGAACTTACCATCTTCCTGCTTCAGCTTCCCGAGCTGCTGGGATGATAGGCATGCACCACTGCGCCTGGCTAAAATTCTGTTTTTAACACTTCTTTAAAAAATGTTGTTATTCCATTTTTAACTAGATTCCAAATTATAAGATAAAAGGGGTTGAATTTTCCTCCTAGGAGTATACTAGCACTTTCATAAAGCTCAATCATGCCCCTTACGACACATTTTAGCTCAGGTAGGTGGTATAATGTGGGAGAAGTTGAGGTAAAGCACAAGACAAGGGTAGCCTGACACTTTTATAACTCTGGAGTCCTAATTCTGAATTGACATGATTTCAGAAAGCTATGCACCTCTGTGAGACCCTGCAGTAAATTTATTATGGTACAGAAACATTTTTGAGGCAGAGAACTACATTTCTCAGCATCCACGGTTATGGGTGATATCACATACTCTGTGGATGTATTCATTCCTTTATCTGCTTCAGGTAGTGTGACTTTTTTGGTAACTTATGACAACAGAAAGATAAAGTTAATTTAAAAAACAAAATGCCTGGGGGTGTAGCTCAGTGAGAAGAGCACCTGCTCAACATGCTCAAGAGCCTGGGATCACTCAGTGCCTGCCCCCAAAGCAGAGCAGAATCAAATAACCATAGTTCAACATTTATATTGGGCCACATAATTCAACACTTCAAAAGTGGGCAAGTAAAGAAGACAGTGACTCACCACAGCAGCTGCCCGGCCGATCCCCTGAGCGGCAGCTGTTAGGATGATGACTTTCCCATCAAGTCGACCCATGAGGAAACTGTGGTTTAATCTAAAGACAAATGCATTCCATGGCTTACACTGTAGCCCCTGGTCTTGTGCAGGCTGTGACGTCTGGAATTACAGCTCTGTGTGCTGCCGTAAGAATGTGAAGACAGCACCCCTGTTCCAACAGTCCCACCATCCGAATGTCCTGGACACTTTACTCTAGATACCTAGCCTTGTACCTCAAAATCATTCAGCACAACACACTGAGGTGATGACGGGCGATGGACTCCGGATGGAGAGGACACCTCTGAACCCTGCTCCTCACTATCCTCCCTGCTACCCCTGCACCCATTGCTATAGCATCGTTTGTGTCCTTACCACCCAGGGCTGCTTCTCGATTTCTCTCCTGTAAACTTCTGTTGAGGTTGCAATATCAATAACTTATGATTTTTTCCCCTTGTTCGTTGAAAAGATTTCCTGATTGGTCTCAGAGATGAACAAAAGGGCTGGAAAAATCAAATCATGTCCAATGTCCCCATTTTACAGAGGAGGGAACTGGACCTGCCCGTTAATAAAGCCAGTCAGTGGCAGAGCCAGAACTAAACTTGAATTTCTGGCTCTTTTGCTGTGAGAACAATCCTTCACACCACACTGCAGATCCTCTTTTACAAATTAAACATGTAACAGTAACACTTGAACACATATAATCAGTAATTTCTAAAAGCAAAGAATGAGAAACTCTGACATAAGGGAAATTCAATGTGCATGAGATATCTGGCTAAGCTTGGACTGCACATCATAGGGTGAGAGGAACAGCTAGTGATGAGCTGGGATTGGGGGAGAGTCTAGTGGTGATCAACCTTGTTCCTTTTCTTGCTCTGCTCTGTCCTTCAAGTGTACCTCTGACTTCATACCAACTCACAAAGTGGCTGCTGTGGCCCAGACATCACATTCATATTCTAGGAAAAAGAGAAAGGGAGGAGTAAAAAACTAAAGCCTTTCAGCTGGGCGTAATGATGCACACCTGTAATCTCAGCCCACCAGGAGGCTGAAGCAGGGGATTGCAAGTTTAAGGCCAGCTGCAGCAACATAACGATACGCTGTCTCAAGATAATAAATAAAAAGGGCTGGGATTTGTGGCTCAGTGGTTAAGTGCCCCTGGGTTCAATACTTTGTACCAATACACTAAAGCCTTTCAGAGAGGCCTCATTTTCTGAGGAATGAAATTAACTAAATTATGCTATGTGCACATATGAATATGTCACAGTGTATCCAACTATATGTATAATTATAACGTACTAATCAAAAATTAAAAAAAAAAAAAAAAGAAATTGGAAAGTTCTTGGAAATTTCCACCTACATTTCATGACTCAGACCTGTACAACTTGGCCACCCTAACAACAAAGGAGGTGAGCAATTTGAGAATTTTGTTTTCCAGCCATGAGAAAGTGAAAAGCAAGAGGGAGAGTGAGTTGGATGGGTGCCTAGTGAGCCACCTGATTGCACTTGCACAGATGGCCCTCACTGTCACTCTGCTCACTTGCCTGCCTGATAGAGTAGAGGTTGCAGGCCTGGCCCGTACCTGCCCCCCTGCCCTGTACCCAAGGCACCCTTTCCTTTCATGCCTCCACACCTTGGACCAAACTCCACATACTAAAGCACCAGTTCTTCTGTAGGCAGTGGGCTTGAGGATGCATGGAAAGGACACCACATGATCAGAGATGTATTTCAGAAAGATCACAGCAAAGAACAAGCCTGGGCAGGCGCAGGGCGGTGTGGGTGGGAGGTCCTGCAGTTGGTCTGAGAGGTGCTGGTGAAGAGAGAGACCTGGAGGATGACAAGCGTGTCAGAGATGAGACACCGGGGCCTGGTCACCAACGAGATGCTGTGATTTGCCCATTGTTGTACAGAGATGAGTGCAAACCTGGGTCTTCTGACTGCAGGTCCAAGAGACGGCCCTGTGGCTCAGGGCACTGACACATGATGCTTGCAAGCCGAGCAGACCTCTTTAAACTCCCACTGTGGCTGCAGGAGCCTGTAGCTCACTCACCCCAGATGGCAGGAGGTGATCAACCATGAGGAGTTTGTCCTGAGGCCACTTTTTCAGAGGCCATTTGGAGACTAAGGCAGACCCATTTCCAGGAGATAGCACCTTTCTCATGGCTTGACCTGGACGACTTTCAAGACTGCCTTGCTGAAGGTCTCCTAGACTTTACAGCATTCTGGATGTTTCCATCCCACCTGGCTTTGCTCTTTCTCCTTTCCGTGGTGATCTCATGGCTCCTCAGCCTTACCTAGTTCCCTCTGCATTTTCTGGCACAGGAACATTTCCCCAAATACCATCCACACCTGGGTAAGTATGTCTAGGAGTCGGCCTCTCCGAGGACCAGACCCAGACAACCACACCATCATAACTAGTTCCCATCATAACTAGCTCCAGGGACCAGCTTACAGCTCCCTGTTAAGTGGAACTAAGTGGAACTAAGCTCCACTTAGTTCCCATTTGTTAGGAAACAGAGTAGTGGTTTTTACACTGCCTGACCTACTCTGAGACAATGAATATTTTCTTCTTACGAGAGAGATAAAATTTCACTTTAAACACAGAAGAAGTTGGAAAAATTCTATGTGTACTTTAGAAAGACTCTAGCTCTCTTTATGGTCCTCCAGTCCTAAGCATGGTGTATTGAGAAGCTGTTATTTTACAATACCCTTCTAGGTAATGTGGGGCTCATGTCACTGTAAAGGCACTTGTCCAAAGTTAAGCATCTCTGACACCCAGAGAAGCAGGTAATGAACACAAAGCATTCTTTTTTACTCACTTTGAAAACCTCCCCCTACTTGGCCTCCCTGTTGTACTGAGTCCAGATTTTGGAGCCAAAGCTTTCACATTATGTAAGTTTCATTCTCAAACTAAAACAGATTTCTTTGGGAGAAATGAGTGCAAACATAGCCAGACATGATCAAAATCAGGCAACTCCTAGTAAATTCAATGTGAACATTGAGCACATTGGTTTTCTTACTCTAAATATTGGGGGACAATGTTAATTTTAATCAGCAGAGGCAAAAATAGAACATTTTAAGGATATCTAAATGTTTCCATGAGCCAGACAGAAAAATAATCACTTAGGATAGATACTGTAAAAGTTCTCCATTTCTTTAGCTACTTTGAATAACTTATAAATATGGTAAATTTTAAACTTGTTAAAAAAAGACCTGTATTTATCCTGATCTAACTGCTGAGATTAATCTCAAAATATGCAATGTACAAAGCAAAGCAACATCTGAGCATTAAATCTTCCCTTCCCACAGTCCAAAGTTTTTGTTTTATAAGTATTAGGAAATCTTACTTTAGAGGAATGAGTACTTGGCGTCTCCTCTAGATCCACGCAGGAAGGAGTAATAGACTTGAGATCTTTGTTCAGAAGCAAGTCAAGCGCTCAATAATGCATGCTGGGATTCGTAGTTCAGATTCCTTCCCAGTACTAGTTCAATTTCTTTTATTTTTTTTTTTGAGGAGTTGCATCAGCCATACCTTTTATGTGTGTGTGCTGCCATCTAGTGGTCGACAGGTATAACTGTTACCTCCCAGTAGAAGAGGAGTGGAAAATATCTTCACATCTCACTTAGGATGTGAGGTCATTTCCTTCTCAGCCTGTCTCTGACCGTTTTTTTTTTTTTGCTCCTATTATTCACTGTTGTTAGTCAAGGTTGAACGAACAAGAAACGTCAGGTGGAAGATACCAGAACAACAAAATAGAAGGAATTCTGGTATTGGGGATTCTGTAACTTTCCTAGCCCTTAAAAAAATTGCCTGGTGTTTGAGGTGCATTTTGACTGTTAGTCTGTCATATGGACTTTATGCTAACACTAATACACAGAAAGTGGCCCAATGCAGGCAGCTTGACTGCACAGGGTGGGTGGTGGAACAGGCGGAGCTTGAACGAGCTGTGGAGGTGCAGAGAGGAAGAACATGTTGGGCAACAGCAAAAAAAAAAAAAAAAAAAAAAATCATGACTGGCAGAAAAACACTGAGATATAAATACAATAAGAAAGGGCTCGTTCTTGTGAGCCCTCTAGCCTAGGCTGGCAACTTGTACTTTATCTGCTTGTAACTGAGCAGTGCAGGTGTGTAGGATTTGGGACGCATACTTTGTAAGTGAGTTTACTCAACACTATTCAACTCACTTTCTCCCTGCTTTTTGCTAGAGAACAAAACTCCCAAACTCCTAACCTCCTTTGCTGGTCACTTTGGGCAGATCTGGCTGACATGTGGGCAGAATAGCCTGAGGAGGGCTTCCTTCTTGAGGTGAGGTCTCTTTTGAAAGGCTTTGTCTTTTGTCCCTCCCTTTCTTTTTGCCTGCAATGTGGATATGATGCCTTGGGCCATAGCAGTCACTTAGTGAGTTGGGTTCTGAGGTCAGTGGCACAGGTTAGGGACAGAGCAGCTCTAGGGAAGGAAAGTGGTTCGTTAAACAGGGCCTCAGGGCAACAGCCCCACACTAACTCCTCTGGACTTGATGAGGTAAACACACTTCTGACCACTACTATTTTTTTTTTTTGTTGTTGTTGTTGTTTTGTTTTGTTTTGATGCTCAGAGCTAAGTGAAAATGTCACCATGTTAAGAATAAAAACCGCCAACCGGAAAGACTAGGGCAAATCCCACATCTTTCCTTCCCTAATAGAGTAAGAGTAGGGCACTTAAATTTCTATACCTCTGGTTTTTGCATCTATAGAATAAAGATAGGATAGCACCATCATGGTGCAGATGGAGGACTTGACATGTGAACCTGTCACTGGAGGAGGACCCGGGGAGGGTCACCTCAACTCAGGATGGGTGGGGCTCTTCACAAACACTGTAAAAAAAGAATTTAAGTATGTGTCAGATAGAGGCACAGAGATTCATTTAGAAAAGCAAGGATTAGCAAGGGGAAGAGAGGTACAGTCCATCTGGAGAGTGAGAAGCCAACGCTCTGATCTGGGGTCCTAGTATTTAGAGAGGGACAGTGGCTAGGGGGCTGTACTCAAGATGAGGTCATGTTGGAATCATGCAGTTTTGTGTCAGTTTTCCTTGTGGTTGCTCATTGTCCTCGCCTCACACTGCTCTCTGTGGGTAAGGACCAAAGATGCTGGCTGAGTGGCTTGCAGGTTGCTAGCTTTGCATATGGTTCCTGGGCATTTCCTATATCACAACAGCTCACGGGCACTTCTCTTTGAGGTCTCAGCATACTTTTTTTCTCTATATAGTCCCAGTTCCTATCTCAACCTCATTAGCACAGTGTTGGCCGCAGATATACTTCATAAATATTAGTGATTATTTTTATGGAGGATATTGTCAGAGAAATGTAATCTTAATGGATAGTATAATTTGTCCTTTTTAATAAAAGCATCTGACTTAGTTTTGTCATATGTTCATGTAAACTATTTGCTAAGACTGTCCTTCCTTGTTCGGATGCAGCTTCTATTGCTGGGTCTAATGATGTGTAATCACATCCAACTGTGCTCCTGGCTGTCAGAGCAACGTCCTTCTTTTGACTTCTGAGGCTTTTGGAAGGGGCTTGATAAGAGTAAGAGAGTTCTCTAACCAAGGTTAACTCCACACTCTTTCCTCAGTGCAGTTTTCATCCGCCTCCCTTTGTCTGGTCATCTTCAACCATAATGTATGTTATAGCATTCTAACTCGTGCGGTACTGTTAGGCCTTAAGCAAAGCAGGCAGTTTAGGGACAAAATCCCACATTAGGGAGGTTGAGGGAAGCTGTTGCCTCTTTAAAGAGAGTAATGCCACTTCAAAGTTGTTGTTCTTTTTATTTCAGCTAAAACTTTGGAAAAGTATGAGGGGCTGGGGCTGTAGTTCTGTGGCAGAGTGCCTGCCTCGCACGTGTGAAGCACTGGTTTTGATCCTCAGCACCACCTAAAAATAAATAAATAAAGGTATTATGTCCATCTACATCTAAAAAATGATTTAATAAAAAAAAGCATGAGGAACCAGTCAAGGTTTCTGAGTTGCTCTGACTCATTCTTTTAGGCAAACTTATAATACTCAACAGAGTCTGCCCCGAAGTTCATGCCCACCATCTTTGCCTTTTAAACATGTGATCTATAACTTTAAGCTGAGTATGCTGAAAAATGTGCCCATCCCTACATGAATATGTATAGGCTCTGCTGATAAAACCTTCATGATTCCTTTGTTTAGGGAGAACTTTGCTTTGGAAATTACCCAGTGATCTCTTTACATGCTGCAGGTAATAAACCTCCAATCTTATCTCTTGGTGGTACTTTTTGGCTTTGTACTCACCAAATGTGAACCCATTGCTATTGATTACATTATTGCAAATACTCCCTTACTCATTTGTATTGCTAATAGTTGAAATGTCTTCAATGGTTAGAACTATATCATTTACATCCTTACATTACTATAAGCTCAGAGAAAAAGCGTGTTGGCTGCTTTTTCAATTTGTGTTCCACATTGGCAATACTTTTCTGTGCCTAAGACTAATAGGTACAGGTAGATGCTCATTAAATATTTGCTGAGTGAATGGTAAGCTTTCAATAAGTTTTCTGCCAAGCTTTCAAGAAAATGTTTGTGCTGGTTAATTTTATATTTCAGCTTGATTACATTAGGGAATACACAGATAACTGGCAAAACTTTCTGGGTATCAGAGGCTGTTTTCTGAAGTGATTGTCATGAATGAGTAGAGAATAGAGTTCACCTCCTACAATGTGGGCAAGTGCCATCCAATTGGCTGAAGGCCTGGATGGAACAAAAAGGCAGAGAAAAGGTGAATATTCTCTCTTTCTCCTGGATCCACATTTCCAGATCAAGCTACCCATAAGAAACCAGCTTCTTGTTACTTATAGCAGGGCTGAAATTGCTGAAACACAGGCACTTATCAGGTGATTGGCAGAATTACAATTAGAGGTGAACTCTCAGCTTAAAGGGTATCTAATGGTAAACTGAATAGATTGGGAAAAAATGGTATACTGTAAATTGGGTGGGGACATGTGGAAAGGTCCTGATGAGACCTGGGATATTGAGCTCCTAAATTGTGATGAGTCTTTGTTCCAGTAGAAGTGGCCTCCTGTTATGGTTTGGATATAAGGCGTTCCCCAAAAGCTCCTGTGTTGATGCAGGAATATTCACAGGTAAAGTGATTATATTCGGAGAGCTGTACCCTAATCAGTCCATCCTAGTTTGAATGGATTACTGGGTGGTAACTATAGGCAGGTGTGTTGTTGGCTGTAGGAGGTGGTCACTGGGGCTTGTCCTGGAAGGGTTTATCTTCCCAGTAGCCTCTTCTCTCTCTCTTCTTCCTGGCCACCGTGAATAGAGCAGTTCTCCTTTGCCATGATCTTCTACCTAACTTGGGGTCCAGAGCAATGGAATTGCCAACCGTGGACTGAAACTCTGAAACTGAGAGACAGAATAAACTTTTCCTCTTCTAAGTTGTTCTTATCAGGCATTTTGATCATGGTGACAAAAAACTGACTAACATACCTCCATATCCCCAATTTTAGTAGCCTCCCCACATGTGATGGTATCAATTTTTCCACCTGTATCCGGGGATTCATTGCTGCAGAAAGAGTAATGGACTCTCCTGAGGCATTTTGTGAAGCAAGGCAATATTGATTCTCCTCAGGACTCACCCTTACTACCCCTCTTTGCTTCTAGACTCAAGTTCCAGCAGGAACATAGTGGTGAAATACAAAGTGTGATGTGTGAGCAAGTATACTGTACTCCAGAAGAACTACTTGAGTTTCCAAATTTATATCAAAAGAAATCATGGGAATATTGTGGGAATGTATATTAAGGGTGTACAATAATTGTGTAAAGAATTGATATGGGGTGGCTTTGTAGAGAGTCTGCATTTGATGTTTCAGATTGGGGAGTTAAAAAGGGCTCTATTTGACAAGACATTTGGCTGGTTGCTTGGAATATAGATCAACAGATGATCTATGAGAGCAACTTGGCAATGCTCAATCTCCCTCCATTTAACATGGAGGAAAGGATTCAAATATTTAGGGAGATTTGAATGCTAGATAATATAAATTTGTTGCTTAAATCCTACTCACCCACACCAGGAGGTCCAAAAGAGAGCCCCAGAATCTTTTTTAAAAATATTTTTTAGTTGTAGATGGACACAATGCCTTTATTTTCATTTATTCATTTTTATGTGGTGCTGAGGATCAAACCCAGTGCCTTACCTGCACTAGGCGAACACTCTACTAGTGAGCCACAACCCCAGTCTCAGGGAGCCCCAGAATCTTTAAAGAGCTCTATGATTGCTCTTCTCTATAGGTTAGATAGTACAGTCAGGACTGAAGTTACTCAATTGGAAAACTTCAATGAAACAGTAATAATTGTACTCTGGGAT